TTGTGCCAAGAGCCCCTCCCTCCTCTTCCCTGTTTACTAGATCTCTTTAGTTTTATGAAAAGTAATTTAGGTTTGTTTTTAACAATGAGTCATAGTGTTTCTATTTTTAGGGGCAGAGGAGATTTTTTTTTCTTCCTCTGTATCTGATTGACAGGGCTACAGTCTTGTCCTTTGACCCCTGTTGAAGGCCTGCCATTTATCGATTAGTGTGTACCCATGTGCTACATCAGTGAGCAAGAGTATGGATGCCCAGAGTTTGGATGTGGTTGGTATTCCTGACTAGAGAGAGAGAAGTACAGGAAAGCAAGTATCTTGAGATGATTTTAAATTAGTTTTAGACATTTCATATGTGCACTCCTCCTTATAAAAACATGACATGGCAGGTGCCCATTTAAACACGTGCCTCCTTTTCCCAAACTAATTGGTCACAATGGCTCCAGGCTCTGTCTGGGACTGTGTCCAAGCTCATAGAAGATCCTGGGTCTACCCTTCCACCCTTGGTGATTATGCTGGCTCACAGAGAAGGACGACTGATAACCAACCATGCTTTTTGAAGGGAGTTATACACTGCCAGTGGGCATGCCTGCTACTGTAATTCTGGTTCTAAAGGCTATTTGAATGACAACTTTATTAACAAGAGAATACCACAATCCACCCATTTAAAGTATATAATTTAAGCTCTGTGTGGTGGTGTACATCTGTAATCCTAGTATTCAGGGGAACTATGAGTTTGAAGCCAGGCTGAGGTGTATTGGAAGTTCTAGGTCAGCCTGGGCTACATGGCAAGACCTGCTTACACATCCATGGGATTAGCAAGCAGATAGGGAATTCTGATGCTCAGCTGGTAGGACTCCCGTTCATGGCATGGGGCTTCCTCAGTTAATCCTCTCTGGGGAAACCTTCGTAGACATGCCAGAGGTGTGCCTCATCAATGCCCTAGGTTCCTTCGTCCAGTTAAGCTGATCATTACAATTAATCACCACACCCACCCTTCCTTCACCCCATGTTAACTGCCAATCTGTTTTGTCTCCCTGGATGTGTCTGTTCTAGAGGTGATTTCAAATAGAAGGATGGAAAAGGGGCATGTAAGTTAGGGCTGTAGCTCAATTCTTCATGGTGTGTGTCTGTAATCTCAGGATGCAGGAGTAGCAGCAGGGTCAGAAGGTCAAGGTCATCTTCAGCTATGTAGGGAATTGGAAGCCAACCTCATGGGCCATACCCTGTGTTGGAAAAGTGTGTTCTTGCCAGGCAGTGGTGGCACACACCTTTAATCCCAGCACTTGGGAGGCAGAGGCAGGTGGATTTCTGAGTTTTAGGCCAGCCTGATCTACAGAGTGAGTTCCAGGACAGCCAGGAATATACAGAGAAACCCTGTCTCGAAAAACAAAACAAAACAAAAAAAAAAACAAAAAAAAGAAAGAAAGAAAAGAAAAAAAAAGAAAAAGTGTGTTCTTTTGTGACTGTGCATAATATACAGGGTCTCTCTATGTATCCCTGGCTATCTTAAAACTTGCTATGTTCACCAGGCTAGACTCAAACTCACAGAGCTCCACCTGCCTCTGCCTCCCAAGTGCTGAGATCAAAGGTGTGTGCACCACTATGCCCAGCTCAAAAGTCTGTACATTTTTAAATTAATGCTTTCCTCTGTATGTACTTATACAACATATACAAACATTATGTTTATAATCATGTGGCTGCCTTAGAATACACAAAAAATGTGAACCTGTGTGAATCTAGTCTAGTTGTCTCTGTACATAAACGTGCCCTCTGTGTCAGGCGAAGTAGGAGGTGATAGGGATTTGGTGACAAATGGCAGGGTCTGTGTCCTTGAGTGCCGTGTTGGCCTTGATTAGGGTCAAGGATAGGTGCAGGGATGTGGAAGGACAGGGCAGACATCCTGCACTCAGAGGAAAAAACTCAAGCTGGATGTAAGGCTGGGGCTCAGGAGAAACTTCCAGAAGGAAGTTCATGACCAGGCTGAGATCTTTAGAGGAATGGGTATAAATAGGAAGGCAGGATGGAGAAGAAGAAAGACTTCCTTTGCAGAGTATAGAGAATGCCCAGTGTGTCAGCTGTGCAGGAAGTTAGAGGGATTCCAGAGTGGGAACTGGGAACAGAGCAAGGAGCTAGCTCAGCCGGTGGAGTGCCTGCCTCCTACACAGCAAACCCGGGGTCAGTCCCCAGCTCCGCAGAAACCGGGCGCGCTGACTCAAGTCCACCTCACAGTACTAGAAGGATGGATGCAGGACGATCAGAAGTTCAAGGCCATCGTTGCTCACATCAGAAGTTCACAGCTACCGGGGCTATGTGACACTATTTAAGTGGGGATGGGCTCGGTGAAGATGGCTGAGCAAGAAAAGGTTCCAGCTACCACTAACCCTGACAGCCTGGTTTTGGTGGCAGGGACTCAGAGTGAAAGGAGAGACTGCTGCACATTGTCCTTTGGTGTCCACATATGTGTTATGTACCATCCCCAATGCATTAAAAAAAAAAGTCAAAAAGAGACCTGGGTCCCTCAATGGCGGCACGAGATCGAAGGGATCTGCTCTGTCTCAATGGCTGTCATTCAAAGGAGCCACTGGAGACCTGAAGTTGGGCTGCTTAGGGGTGACTGAGTGGCTTGTTGGGAGGGGCAGGTAGAGATGAGAGTCTGAGGGTTTGGAGGAGGTGAGAGGCAGCTACAGAGAAACAGATCTGGTGGTGCTTTATTTATTTACTGAGGCACCAGGGTTCACACCCAGGCCCTTGTGCACACTAGGCAAGCAGGTACACAACCGCTGACCTCCATCCCCAGAGTCTCCCTGTGTGGCAGTGGCTGGCCTGGAACTCACCGAGATCCACTCGCCTTGACCTCTCAAGTTATACGAGTTAGCCTTGTCAATTTGACACAAACTAGGGTCACCTGGGAAGAGGAAGCCTCAATTGAAGAACTGTTGACAAGTCTGTCAACACTTTTAAAATTAATGATTGATGTGGGAAGACCCAGCCCACTGTGGCCATTCCTAGGCAGGTGGTCCTGAGTGCTATAAAAAAGCAGGCTGTTGGGGAGCAAGCCAGTAAGCAGCACTTCTCCATGGCTTCTACTTTAGCTCCTGCTTCCAGGTTCCTGTCTGTTCTTCCCTTGATCTCGAAATGTAACCTGTAAGGGGAGGTAGACTCTTTATTCCTCTAAGTCGTTTTGGCCAGTGTTTTATCACAGCAAGTGAGACCCAGAGTGCTGAGATTAAATGGGTGACACCATTCCTAGCCAGCCCTTGGTTTCTTTCCTTTCCCATTTTTCAAGGCAGAGTTTCTCTGTGTATCCCTGGCTGTTCTGGAACTCACTCTGTAAAACCGGTAGCCTCAGAGATCTGCCTGCTTCTGCCTCCCAAGTGCTGGGATTAAAGAAAGGGGTGTGTCACCACTGGCTGGCTCAGCCCTTGGTTTCTTGAGAGAACCTTGTCATCTTAAATTACCATTGTCACTTCAAAGGGAGTAAAGAATTAGTTTATACTGAGCCCGGTATGAGTGGCTATGGCCCGGCAGGCAGCACAGGTCCGGGTTTTAAGAACAGCATGTGGAAGTAGTTTCATGAAATTTTTATAGTTACAGGACAAAACGTTATAAACCCAGGTATTTACCAAGTGCATTGGTGGGAACAGTAGGTTGCAGCAACCAGCAAGCTAGTGCTATAGGTCTCAGATGCTGCCTGGCGCCATTCTCAGCTTCTGGGTTGGCGGGAAATAGTGGTCTTCTGAGTATATGCACCAAAGGTTATACCTAACAGTCAAAATGGCAGTAGGCCAGATGGAGAAAGTGGGCCATGAATCAGAGGAATAGAGATGGCTCAAGGTAATGTTGGTTCTGAATCTGCTACATCCGGTCTTGGGACAATCAGGAAGATCTAATCAGTCAATCAGCCGTATAGAATCGTTAACACAGGTTTGGCTTTTTTCTGGGAACTTTAGCTTACAGGCATCTGGGGTCTCCCTGAACTCTGGCCCTCTAGCCGCTGTCTCTCAGGTGAAAAGTGGAACATTCAAATATGTATTATAAGACACTCTGGAGGGCCTCCAGGGATGCAGAGAATTGCTATATCTGAATCACTGTGCTTCAGCACGTCCCTTGCTGTAACTGAGTTGGGTGGAATTAAACACAGTTGCTTTCATTGTACTGAAATGTCAATAGAACCAGAAAGCAATTCCTTCTGGTCCAGTTCAGTGGTTAACGGGCACTAGATGTCCCTTCGATTACGCCGCAGCCACTTCCGCAGCACCCTTGTTCACGTCACGATTGTTGTCTATTCTTATTTAGGAGTTTAAAGTCTGGAAGAAGAGTTGTTTTAGGAAAGGGAGAATCGGGGCTTAAGTAGGGTAGGGTTGAGGTTCATCTGGGCTGCTGTTTGGTTACTTCGTAGCCATTGGAGTATCTTAGAAACCCCAGGTGGGGCATAGCAGAACAGGGTAGGGCAGTCTAAGGAGGAGTGTTCCTGTAAGCTTTGCTAAACCCGGAACTGAAGTGGGAGGAGTACTTTGGACTGGTCAGAAGTGGCCTTGGGGACACATATGCTGGGAGGGGGACACAGAGTTTCATGGCATTGGCTCTCGGTTTGTTTTCTAAATGCTGTGATGAGCCCTCCTTGGAGCCAAGTGGAATCAATCTTACCTGACCATCGTCATGAAGCCATTTGCTGCAAATATGAAGCAGAATTACTTGATAGACCAACTGTCTTGGCAAGGTCACAGATCTGACCTGGTGGACACCTGGAAGGATCATTTATCTACCCTGTATCCAACCAGGATTCCCTTTCAGCTTGGTGATGAGGTTTTGCTCTTGGGGGAAGAACCTAGAGGGAGGTAGTTCCCCATTCTAGTTAGCTTGCACTACACGTATGCATGTGCAAATTAGAGTAGCTCTGGTCCTCCCCCTGGGAACCAGGAGTGCTTAACAGTTAGTTGAGCATGTGGCCTCAGTTTCCTTTTCTCTGAGCAATGACTTTGGGGCTCTCCTTCTTTGTCCAGGTATGTACCCCTTGGCGACAGCAAGCCAGGAGGCAGAAAGTAGCCAGAAGCTGACACACCTTTTGAATGCTGTGACAGATGCCCTGGTCTGGGTGATTGGAAAGAGTGGTATCTCCTCCCAACAGCAGTCAGTCCGCCTGGCCAACCTTCTGATGCTTCTTTCTCATGTCAGACACATCAGGTACAAACCCGTGGGACGCTGCTCCGGTGGGGTGTGGGCAGAGCATGCGCTCAGGGCTTTGGGAAAATGTAAGCAAGTTTGCATAGATATGGTAGAATGTTTGAACAGGAAGGGCACACCATCAGTGTATGCACCTGTGCCAAAGCTTGGTGCATAGCAGGTGTTGAAATGAGTGTCACATAGCACCTGATAGGATTTTTTGAGGCAGCTGGTGGGACCCACCTGGATGTAATTTAGTCTTTAGAATTTGTTTATGGAGTCCTAAAATGGGCACTTGTCTCTCTAAAATGAGTTGCCACCTTCCTTAGACCACCCAGGGCCAAGGCCTGAAGTTATTTTCATAAGGATGCTAAGCCTGGCTCTCCTGGTTGTCCTTCGGTTGAGGACTGGGGATGTGCACCGAGTTGTCCTTTAGATTCCATGGCATCAGGGTACCAAGGATGAGACCTAAGAGAACGTCCCAATAGGCTGAGGAAGCAAGACTGTGGATGGAACCCAGTCCAGCTCAGCAAGTGCACAGCATGTGCACTGGTGAAGAGGTTGTGATGAAATGGCTATTGTTGGTACAGTGACGTTCAGTGGCTGATGTCACCCAGGAGGCGATGAACACTGAAGGTAGTGCTCCCCAAGTAGGAAGCTAGAAGAGCCGTGGGGAGGACAGTGTTGAATCAAGCATTTAACAAGGAGGAGGAAAGAAGAAAGATTTCTTCCTGTTTTGTTTTTCTTTAATGAACACTTGGCCCATTTGAACCCTTTGCAGAACAGAGGTCAGCCTATCCTTACGATGTGTGAGTTCACCCAATTGCTTATTTGGGAGTTTATTCATAACTCCCAAATCAGAACATGTGACTCTTTTAAGGTCAAGCCAAGAATGGCACACATTTTCAGTGTCTTGACATGTACCTTCCCAAATGAGTCAGTCAAGGAGCTAGGTGCTTCGGGTCTCCCAGTGTGAAGAAGCCTAGTTACAGTCACACTCTTTAGATCCATGGTTTTGTGGCTTTTGTGCTTGTTATGAATGAGCTCGTGGTGCAGCATTGGGTGGTGAGCCAGAGGGGAAGATGACATCACGTTTGCCCTTGAATGTAGACTATTGAGGAAGCTGGATTCGGGAGCTAAAGAACAATGGGGTGGGAGAGGTACAGGGAATGTGGGGGTGGGGCAGGGTGGGCTGGCTTTGTGCAGGAGTCTTGGGGACTATTTCAACATTCTCTTGGCTATCTGGAGGGAAGCATTCTGAGTGCCTTTCCCCCCCATAGTAACAAGGGCATGGAACATCTGCTCAGCATGAAGTGCAAAAATGTGGTCCCAGTGTATGACCTGCTGCTGGAGATGCTGAACGCTCACACACTTCGTGGGTACAAGTCGTCAATCTCCGGGTCTGAGTGCAGCTCAACAGAGGACAGTAAGAGCAAAGAGGGCTCCCAGAACCTACAGTCACAGTGATGGCTAGGCCTGAGGTGGACAGGCTACAGAGATGGTCAAAAGTGGAACATGTACCCTAGCATCTGGGGCTTCATCTTAGGGCTGCCTTGGTCACGTACCCCTTACCCACACTGTACTTCCCAGGAGTCAGGGTGGTTGGGTTGTAGTGCTCTGGACAGTGGGGTATATTGGTGGTGACTGAATGGTTTCTGGTGGCTACTGTGTTAGGATCTGGTGAGTCCTGGAGGGAAGGGAGACAGGCTAAGAGGAGGAGGCTGTTCCTGGCAAGCAGCCAGAGGACTTGAGTGACTCAAATGGAGGCTAGGAAGGAAAGTTCAGGTTGTCTATGGGTCCACACGAACATGTGGTGGCTACAGCCTCACTGAGATCAGCTGAGTCTCAGGGAGACAGAGATGGGGGTAATCTGGGGGAGGGGGAGTACAGTCAGCCTACCTGGGTCTGTGCCACAGGTGGAGGCTGCAGGGTCCACCATGGTAGCAGTGGGTGGGATCAGATGAGTCTAAGATAATATTTGTCGTATTTGGAAGACTAAGTGCGCCATTGATCTGCTTTCTAACAGAATCCAATACACAAGCTGGCCTTTTTTTTTTTTTTTTTAATGAGAAACATCTGAGTTGTACATATCACAAATAGTTCCAAGTTGCTTTACCAACCCCCTGGTGGCCAAACAGCTCAACCAGACCTGAAGTGTCTCTTTAAACATGAAAAGTCTTAAAAAATTAAATTATAAAAACATCCCTATCAAGACTGTAGATTGGCATTTACTGTACATTAGTCAAAAGCTCAGGCTAAAATCTTTGTTTTTTAAAATCAAAGTTTACATTATACATACAGATTCAGTGTTGTTAAAAAATATGCACAAGTAACGACATCCATGCAATAAAATTTCTTTAGAAAAATTTTTTTTTTTTTTTAAGAAATTTTTAAAGCAATGTAAAAGAGCTGACCTGGGTACTGAATGGGAGATTTTGGCTTATAACCTGGGAAGTACAGACTATTAGCTGATTGGAGGAAAACTGATTCTAAATATTTAAAATGTATTTGAATCAACCAATCAGCTCAGTGCACAGAAATTTCCGAACCATTACTAAGGTAGGGACCTACTAGATCCTTGGATGAAGTTCATTTATGTGCCAAGCACTGTTGTTCATGGGCCTTATGAGCTGTGCTATAACAGTGTTTTCCAGACTGTGCGGCTCTTCCAGAGTTCTCTGAACCCATCTAGTAACTTTATCTGAATGCCAGGTCCTGCTGTACTTGATTCTCTGTCCCAGCAGAAGGACATCTTGTCTGAGTTGTCCTGGGCTCCCAGAGTCCACTTGGACAAGAGGAGGGAGGTGTCCGCAGCAAATCCCTGGCTAAAAGTCACTCCCGGATTGGTCTGATACCACGAGCTGAGCACCTGTGGCTGACAGGCTGTCAGCACGGCACCACAGCAGGCAGAACCCTCTAGGTGGGAGGCGGCCCGTTGGTGTACCGCAGCATGGGGTAGAAGGAGCGGGCGAAGTTGTTGGCCTGGGTGCAGCTGTAGTCATTTTCAGAGGCAGGCAGAAGGCAGGCCAGGAGCAGCAGCAGCAGGAGCAGCAGCTGCAATGGTAGGGCTGCCCTGATCACCCTCGAGAGGAAGGAGCGCCTTGGCTGTGAGCTGCCGTGACTGTCGAGGTGGGGCATCCTGCCAACAGAGAGGTGGGGGGGGGGCACTCATCAGGAGGGTTCTAAGGCACACTCACCATCATCTGACTATGTGCTTATGGAAAAGAAATCAGGGCTCTGGGATGTGAGGCTCAAATAAGCTGACAGCTGAGGTGATGGCTGGTTAACATGTAAATTGACAAGGTATAGAATCATATAGTAGATAAGCCTTTGGGTGTGTTGGTGAGGGATTTTCTAGGTTAGGCTAACTGCTCTGGGAGTGGGAGGCACTGTTCCATAGGCTGGGGCTCTGAAACGGAAGGAGAAAGCGAGCCGGGAACATCTGTTTGTTCTTCTGGCTGCTTCCTGACTGTGGGTACACCATGACCAGCGCCTCAAGTTCCTGCTGTCAAGAGTTCCCTGCCACGATGGACTGACTGTACCCTTGGCACTGTGAGCCACAATAAACGTCTTTACTTCCATGGCTTTGTCAGCGTGTTTTGTCACAGCGATAGAAAAGTAACTCGGGCAGCTGGGGGGCACTTCTGGAAGAGAAGCTTGGTCCTCTCCACAGGAACCCATGGGGTGTCACCGTGGGAAGTGTAACCCCATTACCTGCTGTCTGCCTCCTCTTCCTCTTCCTCTTCCGCTCCAAACTGCTAGAACAAAGAAGTCCATAATTCAACATGTCCTCCCTTAGGTTAGCTACCCCTTCTCCACCCTCTCAAGGTCTAGAGTCACACCACGTGTGACTCAACTTGATGACCTAGGGAGTGAGGTCTGTTAAGCCATCAAGATTTTCATATTTTAGTTTACTGATCTGATTTACTGGAGACATGAGGAAATCCCTCAGTAGAGGTCCCCACCTACAATCTACTATGACGTCAAAAAGTAACCCACCAGGAGAGAGCCTTTGAGTCAAGTCTTAAAAAAAAATCATTTTTTAATAATCATTGTAAAGGGCCAGAGAGAGAGCTCAGCGTGTAAAGACACTTTCTGCAGAGCCTGATGACCCAAGTTCAATGTCCCTGCCCAAGTGATGGAAGGAGAGACCCGGGTCCGACAACTTGTTCTGTGACTTCCATATGCAGACAGTAACATGTTTGTATATACGTACTCAAAAATAATTGTTATTAAAAATATTATAATTTCTTTTGGCAAGAAGATTGGTTGAAATAGATTTGTGCTATCACAAAAGGTCCTTGGACTCTCAAGATTCTGCCATCTTCCTGATTGAGAGCCAGGCCGGGTATGTTTTAAGGAAGGAAGGGCACTGACCTTTGCCAAGGCTGCTGGAAGCTGTTTGCCTGAGTCCACTTCATCAAAGCTGGTCAAAGAATCGTCTGGATTCTGAAAGCCACACCCAGTTGTTCAGTTTAGGGCAAAACAAAGTTGGAGGCAGCCTCCTGTACTGTGCTTTACGAACTCTTAAAAGAGTAGTGTGTACCCATCCTAGCTTAAGTCCTTCCAAGAGCTCTCTCCTCCCGTGGAAAAGACAGACTTTTTCAGACAAAAGGCCAAAGCACTGGAAACTCACAATCCCAACTGGCTGTGAGTCTCCGTCCATCACTGATGGACTTATGTGACTGCTGCAGCCGGGGTGGGGGGGAGGCCACCGTCTGGTATGCTCGTTGGGTTACAGCACATTTTCAAGAGAACTGAAGCTCAACAGAAAGTATAATTAGGGAGGAAACCAGGACAGAGAGAAAGTGAAGGCTTGTATCCAGCATGAAGGTAGAAAACATGGCGGGATCCATCTTGCATATTCCTACTGATAGATGTGATGGTTATCTGCCTTTTTCCAAATGACAGAGCATTTGCACTGGGCTTATACAACTAAAGCCGCACAGCCAGGAAGGGGCTGGAACCTTCACACTGACTGCCTCTCCCACAGTGAGGCTGCAGCCTGCCACCCCACCTGCCTCTTCTGAGGTATCTTGGCCACTTGGCAAGTGGACTGACTCACCAGGCTTCCCTGCAAGGACATCAGATCTTGAGCCACTTGCTCTCGCAGCTGTTGGAGTTTCTTCTCGATTACATGGACCTTCTCTTCGGCCTCAATGTAGTCTTCTCCGTGCCCCTTAACCAGAAGGCTGGAGGAAATCTCCTGCAGGGAGTTGACTTGAGGCTGACGGTCTATCAACTCCTTTTCCAGTTGCTGAAAGCAAAATGGTGTAAGACAGTTGTCGGAGGGGAGGATGGCACGGCTTTCTGTGTTCTGGGATGAATGCTAGGTACAGCTGATTCCACAAATTTCTTTGGTTTGTTGATACCAAGTGCTTCACACTATTCAGAGAGCAGTTGAATAGGTTGTACCCAGCCCCTGTTTTAATTCCTTTGACCTCTAAAGATACTTTGATTTTGAGAAATGAGGAGAGAAGTGAAGAAGTGTGCTCTGAAAAGCCCAGGCCCCTTATACACTCGGGCAGGCAAACTGAAGCCAGTATACCAAGAGCCACCAGGACGGTCACTCAAGGGCTGTTTTCCTGCTATGCAGCTACCTTCATTCAAATTAAAAGAAGAAAATCAGTTTCAATCACATTCTAATCCCTTGGTAACCACCTGAGGTACAGTGGCATGAGATACCCACTCACGTACAAAGTTCTCTTGGACACTGTTATGTAGGGAGTGGAACTCTACAGAGATTTTAGTATAGATTTTTTTTAAAGCAATGCCCAGCAATTTTAAATATAAGATACTGAAAATTAAGCTACATGTAAGCTGATAGGTTAAAAACAAGTTCCTTTGAGACATGTCAGAATGTATAGGTCTCACCTTGGCTTATTAGTGAAAAATAATCTATAAAGACACAGTTACCTCCAGAAAATAGGACATTTCTACCATGAATATAGAGAATGCATGCAGCCCATCTTGGGCAGTATGCCCTCCCTCATCTCTCAGGCAAACAGGACAGTCTGCCCTCTGTGCCCAAGCGTCCTGTACAAATAGCCTATCAGCCATGGATCAAAACACACAGCAAAGAATTACAGCTGTTCTGAATATGTGAATACTTTCCTTGTTATTATCCTTAAGTGTGGCACAACAGGTATGTATACAGCATTTACACAACTCATTATATTAAGGATTGTAAGTAATCAAGAGAGGCTTCAAGACGTATGGCAGGATTTGTGTAGGTTATATGCAAATATATGCAAAATACGCATAAATATTTACATTTACGTAGACAAAACAAACATTTTACCTGGCGGACTCAAGTACCCTCAAATCTGGGTATGTGTAGGAGTGTAAGACCACTGGATATCCAAGGGTGAATAATTAATAATGGAAGAAACATGCTTCAGTGGCCTTGACTTCCAAAAAGTACCTTTAGTACGCTGATGTCCCTTATTCCTGAGAATCTTAAAAGCATCTGGCTCTGGCTCCTCACCTTTCTGCATGAACTTGTGAGTCACAACCACCAACAGTGCCCAGAGCAGCACTGGATGAAGCTGCCAAGGACTCTGACCCACGGAGGTATTCAGTGGCTGGTGGGACTGCAGAGGAAACTTACCATTAGCTCTTTCTGACACTCCAGGAGGACCTGGCGGTCGGCCTCTGGGCTGTTGACATGTGCCTTCTGCCTTCGGCTCTCTGCACTCGCTAGCCACAGGAGCAAGTCTTGACTCAGTTGGTGAAAGTCCTTCAGAAACAACACTCGTGAGAGCCCTGTTCTTGGTGGGGGCAGAGGGAGGGAGCGCCTAGAGGGAGCTGCCCACTCATCTCCATCAAACAGTAAGCAAAGGACCAGATTTCAGTGACAGGCCAGGGACTCAACCAAGGAAAGAAAAAGCAAGAAGAGTGTACACCTGGCTGAGCCCTGGGAGGCATCACATATAAACTGATACCGGCAGTGGGGGTGGGGTGAGGTGGAGTGGGAGGTGGGCGGGTGTTCTAGGTACTGATTTAAATGTGAAGACCACATATGTTATTTAACCCACTTCCCAGATGCAATGGTTGTGCCATCCCACCCCACATGACAGGCTGTGATGGGCTCACGTTCCTAAAGACAGCCACAGAGCTAACCGATGGTGGAGAGCAAACGCACGCTCAACACTCATGGGGGCTGGGTAGCAGGCCAGCATTATACACATCACCTTGTTCAGTTCTTTAAAAAAGAGCCCTAGAGTCAGGCTCAGGTCTCAGAGGGAAACGCCGAGGTCTGGGAGGTTCAGGGAACTCAAAGTATCAAACGGCTCCCGTAATCAGGGCCAAGTCAATGATTCTGTCTCACAAGGGACAGAGAGAGACCATTTCCTCAACCAGGTGGCATGTTTGCTGTGACCCTTACTCCCAGAGTGGACATGAGCAACAGACCTGGAAATGCTAGGTAAACACAGGGTCATTTTAATGGCACTGGGGGGAGGGGAATTTGCTTACTTTCTAGCTCAAGCCAACCTGGGGATGGTAAAAATATCTGCAGCTCCTAGCATATGGGCCAGGCTGCTGCTGGGAAGGACAGGGCCCTGGGCTGAGTCAACATACCTGGCACTGCATGAGTGACTGTCGTAAGTCTGCTCGCCAGCTGTCCATCACACCCTGGACCTCGTCCCAGGACACGCTCAGCTGATGGAGCCTATTTTGGAGTTCTGTGGATTCGGGGCTCTGGCTTGGCAGATATTCCTTGTGGCTCACATGGACAGAGACCATTAAAGCCTTGTAGGTATCGAAGGCTTTTAATATCTCCTAGGGAAGAGATCAAGTTAGGGCTTCCGACAACAGGGAAGAGGGGCTCGTTCAGAATACCTGTAAGGGACAGACCTCCTCCACGCTTCTCCGAGCAGTGGGTACCAAGACGAGACAGAGCTCGCCTGTGAGTGGCTGGGAAGCATCAGCTGAGGGAGCTGCCTTACAAGGTTCGTGAGCTTGGCTGGCCAGCAGGGCTGGGGAGGCCTGCTTCTGACAGGCTTGACCGGAGGCATGAAGAGACAGACCCTACTGACCTCCACAGTCCCTTCTCTGTCACTGGCTTAGGGACAGTCCAAGGTAAGACTAAAAGTTTTCCAGATAAAGACCATGTAGCTACTTTGCACTTGGCCCCTAGGGACCTCAGAAACATCACTCCTTTTGGAGAAATGGTAACCTCTGTATCCGCAATGGGAAAGCACAGGTGTGAAGAGAAACTGGACACCCTCAAGACTCCTGTCTTGGGTTTCAGGACCTCAGACTTATTTGCTCAGGGCACCCTCAAACTGCAGGGCTCAAGCTGCCCCTGCCCTGTACCCTGGGCTGGTGCTCTTGAGGCCTTGAGCTGATGATATGAATAACAACTCTTTAACTGTATCACAGCGTAGCCACAGGAGTCGGGCCTCAGGACTCCTTAGCCAGTGAGCTGATCTGAACCCTTCCCAGGAAGGCTCCACTGCTAGCCTCCTGTAGAACTACCACATACAGGTCAGAAGGCTGGCTTTACGCTGCCTGATGCTGGCTACCAGCACTCAATCCTCAATCCACGTCTTTCCAGCCCTGAGGGCCTGAGTCATATCTCTGCTGTGGTCTTCTAGGTTTGGGGATTTTCTGTAGACACTCTTGTCTTGTGAAAAGAGAAACCTGTGTCTTGGGCCTCACTGAGGTAAAAGCCACTAACCTCCGCACATGCTACCCGTATGCTACCAGCCACTCCAAGCCCAGATCTGACCTATTTGCCCAGCAGCACAATGCTAACTCTTTGAGCCTGCTCTGATCGCCTCTCCCCTCCACCCACGGGTCCACTCACTTGCAGCCTCTTCACCCTGAGTGCCATTTCCTGGATATCGGAGGGAGGCTCTGCCAACCTCAGAGCTTCCAGCTCTGCTCCAGTCTTTTCGAGCCAGGCAGTGATGCTGCCGATATCAGAATTGAGCTGCTGCACGTTCTGCTTTAATCTGAGCTTGCTGTGAAGCTCCTGCGCTTGAATCAGCTCCCACGTGTCGAAGGCACCTGGAATCCAAAGCTGCCAATTAAAGCAAGCAATAATACAAGCAGATCTTCTCAGCTCAATAGAGGGGAGGCGAGGGTGCTCCTTGGAGGAGGACCAGAGCCCTCACATCTGGAATCTCCAAGTTCTGATCCAAGGCTCATCCCCTCCACTCCCACAAAGGTGGAAGGAAGTGGAGACAAAGGGTGAGGAAACCCAACCTGTGCCCAGTAGGTCTTCTGGCCTCTGGCTCAGTATTTTAGATAGCGTTGCTTTGATTCATAATGACCAGCACCATGTAGTCAGCTATACTTTGCACCTAGCTCAGCAATGACCTTGGTAATTACTGGACTAGCTTCTGAGGCACTTGAGACAATATGCTAATCACCACCTTCCATCTTGTTTTTCCTTACATGGCGAGTAATTAAAACATGCATTTCATAACCAGGTGGTGGTGCACATACCTTTAATTCCAGCACTAAGAAGGCAGAGGCAGGCGAATCTCTGAGTTCAAGGCCAGCCTGGTTTACAGAGCAAGTTCTAAGACAGCTAGAGCTGCACAGGGAAACCCTGTCTCAGAAAAACAAAACATGCATTTTGTCTTATGGGGATCCTTTGTCACTCATTGTGTTTCCAAAAGGCCAGGGATGCAGCTGTGTAGGACACGTGTCTACCAAGCCTAGCCCCAGCACTACAAGAAAAAAAAATCCAATTTAAAATGAGATGGCTGTGGACTCATTCAAAAACACAAACTGGCTCATTTCAAACTAACTGAGGCTGTTGTGGGGTGGGTTCAGCAGTCTTGGTAAATCACAGCATTGCTTGATCCCCAGTTAATGTTCTATCAAGTGACAGCTGAAGCGAACACCTAGGCCCAGACACCAAGCTCCACATCTCCTGAGGGCTGCCCGTTTTTTGGTACCTGGCTGCTGTCCCGTTAAAGTGGCCAGCTGCTCATCTTCCTGCTGGGCGCTGTCCTTTGAGCCTCTTGAGCCTTCTTTGCTGTCATCTTGACCTAATAGCAGCTTTACCTGGAAGGAGCCAATCTTTAGTTATTTCTGTAAAATCCTAAAGAGCGCTAAAGAACATCTGGGTTCTGTGGACAGTTCCCACCAATAGGTGACCAATGACTGACATGTGTCATCATTGTACCTGTCAAGGTTAGTAAGGAAGCAGGCTGAGGGCAGAAAGCCAGCCACGGCCAAGGAAACGGTGGCACATCAACGAGGGGCGTTTAGTGGCCTGTTTCTGTATCTTCCTACGGGTCTCCACACAAACAATGGGAAAGTCAGAATGATCTTATGAGACAGCTCCTGTGGCAGCACTTTTACATTCCTGCATTGTTTTACAGTGTCCCCACCCCTCTGTATCACCCTGTTGAGGTGTTCAGCATTTCCCTCACTGTGAATGGGAAACATCGGCTCATTCGCTTCTCTTGGTCATTCATTATCAAACATCAACGTACACAGTGACTCTTTTGCTCCCACAAAACTCATTGGCCTATTACATCAGACCTTTCCAAAAACAAATGGTTCCCTCTTAGAAAAGCTGCGCTTTCTCTGGATCTTGTCCACCGGGCTTCTTTGTGTGGGATGCAGTAAACGATACTTTGTATCTCTGGTAACCCGTGTGGTTTCACAGCCAGTAGAGAAGCTGGGCTGCTGAACTTGGGAAGGTGAGGAACACAAGCCTAACGCCTGAAAGAAGCCGAACCACAGGGTAGGGAGAGGGTTCCAGGGCTGGGTGAGGTTTCCTTCCAGTCTTGGGCTGCAGCACCGATGGAGATAGTAAAAGCGGTAGCTGTCAGCTAAGTGAGAGGAGGAAGAGTAGGCACAGCCACAGCTGTGTCAGATTTGACCAGTTAAAACTGTCCCCAATTACATAGTAACAGTCACTCCCAGACACAGAAGGCACTTTGGCCAAACCCACTGGTCCTCCACCTCCACTTGTATTGCCTACTCCGAAAGATGTCTGTGTCGCTACACTGCAAATGACATTTTCACCTCAAGTCCCTCATTGTAAATGCTCTGAGCTAACACCTATCTCTAGCGGCTGCCTCACCAGAGCACTCCAAGAACTCCTGCAGCCAAGAGGTGCAGGGGTAATTGTTGTAATAAGCACCCCAATACAGTGTTAGTAGGGACACCCTGAGGGCTTCCTCCCTGTTACACATCAATCCTAATGTACGAGGTGGGTTCATAATCGGGAGAGGAAGGCTCACAGAGCACTGTATGCTTCACTGTCCTGGCTTGGGAGCCAAATCCAGGTCTCATGGCCACCAATTCAGATTATGATGAAGTCCTGTTTTGTTTCCTGACGTGCAGTCAGAAGGCAAATATAGCACAGATTTGAGAGGCGAGAGGCAGCTCAGGAAGGCTCTGTTATTTATATGGATAATTGCTGCTAACAGTAATAGTTCTCTTGTTCTCACTGTTCATCACCTCACTTTCATTCAGCACACATAAATTTTGGGGCTGGAAACCTTTCTTTCAATCTAGTCTATTTGCTGGGTTCTGCTGAAGCAGGGATACCTGAGAAGAGGGCCTTGTTCTTTGGGTGGTGCTGGGACTTGAACTCAGGTCATGCTAGGCAAGCTCTACCACTGAGTGACATCCCTTCCCTGAAGTCCCTCAGAAGAGATCCCATCACTATATGAGCAAAACAGATCCAGAGAGACTGGAAATACCCGCATGCACCTGGCCTATGTTCCCAAGGAGTCAGGACTTACATAGGCTGGTTTGTAAGGCGTGCTGGCATCTGCGGGGATCGGTGCCACAGTCCTGTCACCGTCCATGTGTTTGTAGTGATGTTTGGAATGGGAAGGGGTGTCGGGAACATGCCACGGGTGGCCCTCAGAAATGGATTTACCTAAAACAAAGCGTCACCCCGAGTTAGAGTCTACTCTCCAACCAAAGGATTTCTACTTAGTGACATAAACATGGTCACAGGTGACATGGCATCAGGTTATAATACCAAAATGAGTTCTGCAGCTTTCCTTGCAAAGCATGCAATGTTTGCAAAATGTCAGTATGTCTTGGGAGGGGATGAAATGAGTCATGCAACTGAGCAACATGGCACCTTCACGAGGTGGGACCACAGCGGAGCACAACGAACATATATGTGATTGGCTGCAGGATGAGCGGCGTTCTGGATGGAGCTGGTGTCTGGAGTTGTAGGGATGCTAGGCAGTAAGGTTAGGAGTGGGGGGGTCAAAAGGACAGGAGGCCTCCGAGCGGGGTCAGGGGGACACACAGCGACTGTGTGAAGATGGACTTAGGGACCAAACAGCTGCTGATAGCCCTCCGCTACCACTGAAGAGAGGGACAGGGTGGGGTGTAGGATTAAAGTGGCAAATTGAAGAAAGGTTTCCTCTGCCGTGGCAAAGGCAATGGTCCTTTCTAACCCCAGTTATCCATCTTAGGAAATCACCAGAAGCAAGGAAATAGTCTGAAACCAAGCCACCATGAAGAAAGCTTGGCCCATGCTGAAGGGAAAAAATAACAAAGGCACTACGACAGCAGTTCTTTCTGCCGGCCTGAAAGTGGGTGGGTGGGGGGAGGGCGTCGAGAGCACTCTGGTATGTAGGGAACACGCAGGTAAGGGTGAGTACAGCAGTGTAAATACACCATGACACGAAGACCAAGGTGCATGGTGTCCACAGAGGCACAGGTCAGACATGACACGGGAGCAAGGTTTAGGATGCGGTGTGTGCCATGGGATGCGGCCATGTTGAGACACATGCATAGGCAGGGGCCTACCAGAAGATGCTTTCAAAGATTTTGTGGTCATTTTAAGATAAGCCTCAGGATTTTCAGGGATTTCTACATCTGAAAAAGAATAATGTCATTGTCCTCACTGGAGGCGCCTGCGGAGTAATGCCCAGGTAGTAAGTCGACACAGCAGAGACACTGCCAAGGGGGGGAAGGAAGTTAACTACTCCCTGTCTTCTCAGTAAAAGAACTTTAAAAACCAAAAGGACTTCCCCCCACCAGTCAATTCCTGTTCATCGTAGTGCTGCGTTAGGGGCACATGTGATAAGAAGGGCCACACTCAATGTATTGGTAAGCTTTGATAATGCTGCAGAAAAATCAATTGAGGAGCCTCCCATTGGCTAGACTCATCAGTGAATGGCCCTAAAGTCAGAGTGTGAATGTCATCCTACTATAACAGTAGCTAGCCAATTCTCAGGTGAGGCAAAAGGTAGGCAGGACAGAAGGCAGAAAGCCACAGGCCTGCACCAGCCATAAGCTGAACTCTGAATCACAGAGAACTTTTTGTGTCTCTATGGTGCTAGAAATACAGCCAAATGGGTTAAGTTCACAGGCCCCGGGAAGCCGCCTTTAGCCTTTACCTGACAGTGCGCTGTAGAATGGGCCCTCCTCGTCGTCTTCGTGAGAAGATGATCCCCCCACATCACCTGTGTGGTCCCACTCCAGGGGGATAGAGTCCACACTGACGGGGGTCTCACAGCCAGACCGCTCATGTCCCAGAGCTGGTGGCACAAGGTGACACAGTGACTGGGAAGATGTGGGCTCCTCGCTCTCTCTCCTCTTACACCAGGAGTCAGCCGGGATCTCCCTTGGGTCTTCTATGTCCGGCTCATTCTCAGATGCCTCCTTCTCATCATCTAAGCCCTAAACGGGAGGACCCTGGTGTTAGGATGAGCTAGTTGAAAAGCCACTGCGGTAGCAAAGAGCTTTGGAAGTTTGCCTGTCTAGCAGCTGGCACTGACATTTTCAACAGCATCTTTAGGAACTGGGGGGTATGTGTGGGGAGATGGCTGCAGGTTAAGGGGGGAACCTTTCCTACACATTCATGAGGACCTGAAGCCGAATCCTCAGAAGCCAAGTGGGAACCAGGCATAGTATTCTGAGCGGCTCAAATCTCAGCACTCCTGTTAGAGGCAGGATTCCTGTACAGTCATTGGGTGGCTAGCCTGGGGTCTACAGCATATGATGTACACAGCCGGGAACAAGTTGGAAGGTGAGGATCAGCAACTGCAGATGCCCTGGGAACTCCACACGTGCTCCACGATACACTTACACAACACCCCCCTCCCCCACACACACACTGTATTTTAAAAGTTCTCAGGTCTTACGTATGGTTATTCAGCTTTGAACAATCCACAATGGGGTTTGGAATCTGTGTTTTAAAAGAACTATAGCTTTTTTTCTTAGCAGAAAATAAAAAAAAAATATTGAGTAAAGCTGAGCATCTAGGCTAAGTTTATCTAGAAGAATGGCTGCAGGGTCATAGCTGACAGAACCATGTCTTCTAGTTTAGTCTCTGTGTATGTGTCTGTGTGTACACCCGTGTGTGTGTACATCTGTATGCAGGTGTGTGAACATCTCTGTGTATGTGTATGTACATCTATGTGGGTGTACATCTGTGTGTATGTACATCTGTGTGTATGTGTGTGTAGATCTCTGTGTATGTGTGTGTATATGTACATCTCTGTGTGTGTGTATGTACATCTATGTGTGTGGACATCTGTGTGTGTGTATATGTACATCTCTGTGTGTGTGGACATCTGTATGCAGGTGTGTGGACATCTCTCTGTGTGTGTATGTACATCTCTGTGTGTATACATCTGTGCGTATGTGTGTAAAGAGCCTGCAGGTTGGCAGTAGGTATTGTGATAATTACTTTTGATTCTTGACTGGGTGAGATTTAGATCCACCACAGAAGCACATCTCTGGGCATGCCAGTGAGGGAGTTTGTGGATTAGGGTGACAGGGGTGGGGAGACCTATGCTAAATGTGGGTTGATATGAATCCATGGGTCCCAGATAAAGAGGAAAAAGTGAGCCAATGGCCAGCATTTGTCACTTCCTGCTTCCTGACCGGATGCAAGGTGCCTCAAGTTCCTACCACTGTGCCCTCCTTCTTTGCCGTGATGGGCTGTACCCTTGTGAGCTAAAATAACCCTTTTCCCCGAAGTTGTTTTTGTCAGATATTTTATGTCTGCAACAAGCTAAGTTAATTAACACAGAAGTCTTCCTCACTTGCATTGTTTCTCCAACTGAACTGAGAGCTGACTGATTCAGCTGGACTGGCTGGCCAGGAAGCTCCAGCATCCTGTCCTGGTCTCTTCCAGCAGAGGTGACAGGTGCCTAATGCTGTGCCAAGCTTTTTACATGGGTGCTAGGGATCCAAACTTTGTTCCTCACACCTAAGACAGAAAGCACTTTACTAAGCTGCCTCTGCAGGTCTCATTTACGCCTTTTTAAATTTTCTAATTTCATAGTGTAGTGTCTCTGCAGCTTATATTATCGTGCTCTGCAGAGAAAAATGACTGTAAGCCAATACCTTTAAAAATGAGGACTTCTTGGAGACTCTGTGAGGCTGCACTGACCGAAAAACAACTGCATTCAAAGTTGGCCAAGCTGGACCACACAGAAAAGAAACCATTCAGCCAATCATGGTGGCCAAAAAGTAACTGTTCTGGCCCAGTAAGATGGGGACGGAGAACGAGGACCTTGGCTCTAGGTGGATCCCCCCCCAAACCACCTTGAATTCAGGGAAACATCAAGGTTCCTTTGGAAAGCTGGTACATTTGACACTTTAAACGTGACAACAGCACCAGACAAAGACATTGAAAGCTTCCAGGCATGAGGGGAGAGGACAAATCACATCCCCAAGCAGCTATAATGCATATCATCCAAACTAGACAGTTTTCAGTGAGTACTAGAGACCACTGACACTGGCCAGAAAAACCCTGTCCTAAGGATTATGGGGGCAGAGAGGGGAGCATAACTCCAGGCACCATCCTTCCACTGCTAAGTATCTGTAGCTCTAAGTCAATAAGAGTGAAAATGGAAGAACTCCCCTGCCCCTGCCACCATTTTGGTTCCTGTTACAGTTGTACTTTTTTGGCACAATTTTTTCAAATTAGTTTCTCAATCAATCACCATCTTGAAAGAGAACATTCTAGAATACATCTCTGAGAAGCATGGCTGCTGCTATGTATCATTAAGGCACATATGAGGTACTTCTCCTTCAGAGGTAGGATACCACACTGCCCTACACTGCAATTCTAGAGCATACACTTTAGAAGCACTACTGAGACTTGATCCACTCTTCCAGCAGTGGGCCAAGAGGCCGGCATGACACAGCTCTGTACAGAAATGCATGCTTAGGGTTTCCTTTTCATTAGACAAACAGTTCAAAATTAGATAATCTACTTTTTTCATGAACAATTAAAAACTATTATATACTAAGGAAAGAAAGAAAAGAGAAATGCAAAGGAAAAAAAATCCCCTGGGGGCTGGAGAGATAGCTTAGTGGTTAACAGTACATACTGCGTTTGTAGAGGACCTGGCCCAGCTCCTAGCAGCCACACCAGGAGGCTCACAACTGTCTGTAATTCTAGCACCAAGGGATCTGAAGCCTTATCCTGCCTCCAGGTGTTCTCTACTGAGATTGAAATATCCATCCTGAAGGGAAGCTTTTTAAACAGGAAGGTATGCAACTCAAAATAGCTTCAGGAAGTTGCGGAAACTGACCAGATTCACTAGGCCCCTCCCTTTCAGAGTAAGCAATAAAATCTGGGTGCTTCCCCCCTCAACCCCCAAGGAAGAAAGCTGAGCTGCAAAGAAGACTGGGACAAGCCAAGCTGTAAAGAAGGTTCCTGAGGCTAAAGCAACTATCTGGAGGAAGCAGAAATCAGCTGCCTGCAAGAGGTTTAGACTAGAGTCACTTGGAAAGAACATTTTCCAACCTGGTGAGCTGCCTGCAGGCTGTGCAGTGTGGGCCAGGTTCCCAGCTTTTGTGAGCTGTCACCCATACTGGGGTGGACTTTGGGGATGCAGCTCTCTTTGAATCATTTCTGCTCCTCTAAAAAAACCCTCACCTATATTCCTATAAGTAACCCTATAAAACTCATTGGTTCACCAAGCTGGACTTCGATGGTATCCGTGGGCTCCCTGTGTAAGGTGAGTAGACATGTGTGGCTCAGGAAAAGTATTGTCACACACAGAGAGGCACCTGCACTCATGTGCACAGACCAATAAGCATATAAATAAAATAAAATATAAAAAACAAACAAAACCAAATCCTTAAAACGTAACTCCACAGCCATTGGGTTCACACAAAGAGCGGGGGCAAGCAAGACTCAACATCAAACTAGCACATTACCAAGTCTGCCATGACTGGATAGGGAGAGCTCCATGGAGGGATGGAGCTGCTTCCACACCCTGGACCACAATTGAATGGAGCCCTTTTTAACTGTAAGTAATCATGGGTCCAGTACAAGGTAATCGTCCCGACTCTTCAAACCTCGAGTACGATGTACTCACTGAGGAGCTGGGAGCCCTGGTTGGTGGGTTACTGGGGTGTGGGTCCTTACTGGGGTGTGGGAGGTCAGGCGGCGGTGGAAGCGAGACACTCTGCCGAACACCTCCTGACAGTAGCGATGCAGTTCCTCCAGCTCGTCCTCGATCAGGACGGCGTCCAGGGGCTCACTCTTCTGAATGAGCTGCTCCCCAAACACGATGAGCTGGTCGATCTTGTTGGTGTTCAGTGTGATCTCCTGTTGGAAGCCCTGTTTGGAAGGTGAGAGAGAGACTCTTTCCTTGTGTCATGTTTGTTGCGTATGACAAGACCATATGGAGGCTCGGCGGTGGCATTAGATGTCATTACAGTCTTGTTTCTTTTCCCTTTCTGATTTGTAATTGGTACAGTAGCATATACTTTTCAGGAATTGACAGTGGCAATCAATTTAAATAAAACAATTCTATACTTTTTTATTTTTTTCAATTTAAAAAATTGTAAATTTGACCCAGATGGCTATTACGGGGGAGAGAAGGATTCATCTTCTTGACACTTGGTGGGAACAGAATAGGCATCTGCCTTGGTGGACACAGAAACCACAGTAAGTGCCTGTTGTATTAAGAGGCAGGGGGTTTTCATTTGGTGATGTTTTCTAAGCAAGGAGAGAATGACTGAGGGAAGGCTGGAGTGTGAGGCTTAACACAGGGTACATGCCTATAATCTCATCACCAGGGAGACTAAGGCAGGATGACAGTCATCTGTTTGAGGCCAGCCTGGGCTACATAGCAAGACACGGTCTCAGAAACAACAACCAAAAAAAATACCCCAAAACTTCCAAACTGACTATAAACAGACATCTATACCAGTGAGAGCAGAGATGTGTTTACTCTTGGCCCAACCAGTGACACTGAGCCGACCCTGCATGGACTCAGGTACCGGAGAAATGGCACCATAGAAAGTTTAGACCGGAACCTAAAATGAGCTTTGTCCTTGGAATGAGCTGTCTACTAAAAGGCCCAGTGTCCCCAGAGTAAGCAATATAAGTATATAGGTAAAGTGTAGCCTGTTGCCTGGAGAATTCTGGAACGTTCTCCGAGTACCAGCTAAAACTGGCACTTGGCCAGCTCTCTTCTACAGAGATACCTTTTCACAGATGCTGAGGAAGCAGCACTCACGTTCAGTTGGCGCATCTTATCTTCAGCGTCACTCTCTGAGAAGTGCTCTACGTTGGTCAGCTGCAGGTCCATTTCTGTGAGCCAAACCAGAATGCTTTCCCTGGTGCCCTCAAATTCTTCCCTCTGGTTGGTGAAGTACTGCAAAGGAAGGAAGACCATGCTGGCACCGCACTGTCATGTTTGGCTCAAAGGAGAGGGTACTAAGAACTATCAGACAGAACCCTGTCTCTGGAGTATCCCAGACCTCTCAGCACTGCATCTGGAGCCTAGGGTCTTGTCTTGTACCCCACTCCCACAAATACTCTGGTCCTTGGCTTCCACCCCAGAAAATTCGAGAGTTTGATAATATGCAACATATTTTCTTGGATCCATGGAGGAATTTGAAATTCTAGGTTCTCTAGTCTAAATCGGGATCTTCTTGTTTACAGAGGATGGGGACAGGTTGCCCAGGGACCTTTCTTATTAGTCTGCAGTTTCTTTCCCATGAAAGAAAGTTGAGCAGCTTCAAGCTAGGAAGGTGCTCATCTAGGCAGAAATGGTGGCACAAGCTTGTAATCCTAGCAGCTAGGAGATGGAGGCAGGAGGATTATGAGTTCTAGGCCAGTCTGGATTACATGGTGTGTCTTTGAACACAGACACATGATCATTTAAAGGGGACACATGGGGCTTAGGTGTGACTGTCCCACTTACTCTTCAGTAATTATGAACTTGTAAAACAGACTCATTCTCTCCAATGAAAGGGGTCTCCCAAGTTACCACCTCCTTTTAGGAGGGCTATAAAAATAAAAACAAAAAGTAAGGTTCTCATCTTCCTAGACCAGTGTGCTCTAAACCACAGTTACTGTACCAACACTCCACATAACAGAGTGGGTACACTGCATACTTCTGATGCAGGGCTGATAAAAACAGATGGGCAAGCCAAGGTTCTTGCAGACGCGCATGTGTGCTTGCCCTGGCCCAGGAAAGCAGTGCCCCAGACTCTGTGGACTGTCCCTGTGCCAACATCTACACCATTGGGTTACAGATGTTGTAAAGAGAGACGTGTTTTGCTAGCACAGCTCACACAAGCAGGCTCTGCCTCAGAAGCCCTATGCAAATCCCTCTTTAAAAATGAACATTGGCAGCCACGGACTCCTTTGTGTGGGAAGAATGTTACGAAAACTCAGGCTTTCAGTGAAGTCTACCTGCTGCCGTGTTGCCAGCCCGCCACGGCGTATCACATATCACCTCTCTCTAAATATCTCCCCCAGCACCCTGGGACCCACAGGCAGGTTACCCTGAGTCTCCGTAGGATGGCTGTGACCCGCTTCTGCAGATTGTCCCAACGCTGGTTACCCTCATGCACCATCTGTTTCAGCTTGCTGGCTGTGTCGGTGCGGTTCTCTCGAGCCAGCCGCCGGTACTGTTTGTTGATGAGCTCTAGCTGTGTCAGTCTTTCATGAATCTGTCGCTGAAAGGCCTGTGGCATGGAGTGGAGGTCAGTAGCAGATAGGCAAAGGGCTGGGAACCCCCTACTTTGCCAACCCTAAGTGGCTTGTTTCACTCGGCAGCTGCCCAGGCCGTAAGAACACATCCCAGGTCTGCAGGACTGGCTAAGCACAGGTGCTGCTGTACGTGATGTTTCTGGCAAAGCTGTCCTAACGGCTGGTGGCAGTGACTATGTTGGGAGCATCTGGCCATGCAAAGTCACTTAGCAGCTTCCGAGCTATAGCAGGCTTGGCTTGTAGTGGGGACCGAGGTGGGAAAGGCTCACCTCAAACCGCTTCAGCTCCTCTTTGGCGTTTGTATACAACACCTCGGAGGAATTTGGGCAGGCCGCTGTCTTCTCGGCAGACTTGAGCCAGTCCTCGAAGCGGGAATAGTCATCTAAAAACTTCTGCCACAGCCGCCAGGTCTCCTCGATTCTGCCAGGAGCAGAGGACAGGAAGTTAGCACAACTGCCCAATGTCCACTCTTAGCATCGTCTACCCATTTTGGAGTTTTAAGTGTCCCCTGACAGGGCCCATTTCCCAGTCTTTTACTGTGTAGGGAGACACTCTACCATTCCTTCCCAGGAAATAGCTAAGGATGTAGTTGCTTTTTGCCTAAATTCAATTCTTCTGAAAGACTCAGCACCTCAGAAATCCTGATTCCAGGGCTTGGGCAAGAGTTGGGGCTACCCGCCCATGGTTTCCTTGTTCACCCTACTAGGCCTTCTCTAGCAATTCTTAGTTTTTTTCTTTCTTTAAAGACTAGGACTCGAGCTGGAGAGATGGCTCAGTGGTTAAGAGCACTGACTGCTCTTCCAGAGGTCCTGAGTTCAATTCCCAGCAACCACATGGTGGCTCACAACCATCTGTAATGGGATCTGATGCCTTCTTCTGGTGTGTCTGAAGTTAGCAACAGTGTACTCATATACAATAAATAAATCTCTGGAAATAAAACAAACAAACAAAACAAAAAACAAAAAAAACAAAACTTGTCCTTTAAAAAAAAAAAGACTAGGACTCTTATGGCCCAAGCTGGCCCTGAACTCTCTATCCTTCTGCCTCTGCCTCCTAAGGGCTGAGATGACAAGTACACTGTGTTGGGATTTGAACTCAGAGCCTCATGTATGCAAGGCAGATACTCTCCCGACTGAGCTGCTTCTCGGTAGATGTCTAAGTGACCTGAACAGAGCACAGTTCCTGTGGCTGCGGCGCATGGGGAAGGCTGTTTACTTCATGCGCCGCTCCATTGACATGGCACAGATGTTCCTCCAGCGCCTGTCCAGGCTCCTGGTGGTCTGCTGGATCGAGTCACACTCCGTCTCATTGGCACAGGCGTCAGAGTCGTGCAGTAGGACGTCACAGATATTGAACACAGACTCCACTCCCGCACTGTGTTGTTCGATATCTCGCTGCAGATCCTACAGTTACAAGATAGCACAAAAGCACTTGAGGTTCGAGTAGTGGAGGGAGGGTTGGCGTCAAAGGATCCCTGCCCATCGTCCCCTCCCCACTCCTAAGCCGGGGGCACAGGTGTCTGGGGATTCTAGCAGACGGAGCCTGTTACCTTCATGTAGCCCTGTGCTACAGACGCCTGGCCAACCTACATCTACTGGCAACTGCGCAATTATGCTAGCGTACTGAATTAGTATACTGGGAAGGGTGGGGGTGCCCACCATACGCTGACAGATGGCACTGCTGGCTGGGATGCTATTGCCTATCAGCTTTGGGTATACACAGGGCTTAATCCAAACCATCCAATTCCAGAGGTCCCCAGTAACGACTCGTCATCCCTGCCCCAGCTAAGTGCTAGAATGACAGGCATGTGCCAAGAGACCCAGTCTGGAAATTTTCTTTAAAAATAAACATAGCTTTTTCATTATCAAGAGACTCCTCCTCTCCCTGTGTACTGTAGGTGAGGGTGGGCTAGGGGGAGGGGAGGGGGGAGAAAGAAAGAGAGAGAGAGAGAGAGAGAGAGAGAGAGAGAGAGAGAGAGTTGAAAAGTCTTCCCTATCATCCGGATTCTGTGATAAGTAGTGTGAGGCTGACCCATGAGTCCTGGTGTCTAAATCACACCACGAAGGAGCAAACACAAAGTTCAATTCTATTTTGATTATTTTATTAATATGTCTGTTTCCGAAAATTTACATTTTACACAAACCACTGTTAAGTACACTAAGGCTATAAATCAGAACACAAGAATATTATTTCATTAACAGTAGCCGCTGTTCATAGTAAGGCAGTCAGGGCCATTCTAGGTCACTTGAATACTCCTACTTTGTGACTACTGCATGGGCCTAGTATTTCTTACATCTCTTCTGATAAATGTAAGCCCGGGCATTCTGTGTTCAGGTAGCAATGAGAACAAATGCTCACACCCATTCTCGCTCGATTCTCCGCCAGGCAGTCCCTGCCTCAGATCCAGAGTTGGGATACTACATATTTATATGCAGAAATGCTCTCCTGCTTGGCCCTGGGAGGCAAGAGCAGGAAATTATGGAATCAGGGAGAAGGCCTACAGTACTACAGGGACGGGGCTCTCTGCATTCTTACTGGTTCACAGGATGGTCTCTAGGTTTTAGATACTCACTGGCTTTGATGCATCTTCTCTTTAGCTACAAAAGCAATAAATCAGCACTCCAAAGAGCGGAACAGAATCAGTGTAGGCAAACTTTTCATTGAAAACGTCCAGGATGCCATTTGGGTCTAGCTAGCTAGGATAGTTTGGAAAGGTGCAGAGAAATTCTAGTCTGTGTAATCATGAATGCGATATACTTTAAGAATCATTTCAATGGTCTTACATCATCATTAATTTTAATATCTAACTAAAAAATATGTATATGGGTGTCTAAGCTATATGTCCCGTGTATATGTACTTCATGTGCGCCTGTTGCCTGTGGAAGAGGGAAGTCGATCCCTCGAACTGGAGTTACATAGGGTCTTAAGCTGCCACATGGGTTCTGAGATTCGTACCCGGGTCCTTTGGAAGAGCAGCCAGTGTTCTTAGCCACAGAGCCATCTCTCCAGCACCTCTCTTACACTCTTAATCCAGCTTGTGCTGAATAAAATGGCTAAAGAGGAACAGACTAAGTAGGGCAAGTGTTAGGAACCAATGGGCCCTGAAATACATTATTAAAAGACCACCTCCATTTGGGTTTTTAAAAAGGTCCAAGGTTTTAACAACAACCTTCATCTAAAGATTCCATATCTTCTTTCAAACATTATAGGAGAGCTGAGGGGTGCTATAGTATGAACTAGGTACCTTGTACAATATAAAAGAAAGTGGACTGTATCTTAAAGTGTAATCCACATACGTGCTGGACCAGTGACATTTTGCAAAATCACCATCACCATCATCACCATCACCATCACCATCACCATTACCATCATCACCATCATCATGATGTCAGTAATACCCACCAGGGCACAAGTCTTACGTATTACATTTCAGAAACTGTCTGAACTCTGAGAAACAGCATAAACCAACAAGAAAGCCTTTCCTCCATCAAAAGGAGTTCGTGACAGGACTCAATTATCTGAGTTCAAATGCAAATGTCTGATATGTGACCCTAAAGGGTTGAGACCCACAGGTTGAGAACCATTGGCCCGAACTCTTCTTCCACCACCTCCCCAAGGTGGTTACAGTAAGAGGCCTGAGGGACAGCAGGGACCGAAACCACTTTAACACTAAGGACTTCTGAGAAAGACAGGATTAAGTGATCCCAACTTTTTTAGGTCTTATTTTGGGAAGTGATCGATCAAACAACTTCGGGCAATTATCTGTGATTAAAACATGAGAAAAGTTTTGAGAAATGGCTTCTCTATACTTCTTGTCTCCAGTGTTTCAGAAAGACTGGACTCAGTGTAACAGATGCACAGCAACACTCATTTCAGTAAAACCACTAACAGTTGCCTTAGTGTAGTAGGTAGAGTAAGACCTTTTCTGTCCTCAAGAATGTCCAGATCCTGCGGCTGGAGAGATGGCTTAGCGGTTAAGAGCACTGACTGCTCTTCTAGAGGTCCTGAGTTCAAATCCCAGCAACCACATGGTGGCTCACAACCATCCGTAATGAGATTCAATGACCTCTTCTGGTGTGTCCGAAGACAGCTACAGTGTACTCATAAATAAAATAAATAAATCTTAAAAAAAAAAGAACGATGTTAGGTTACATGGTATGATGGTTTGAATGAGAACGGCCACCATAGGCTCATATATTCAATTACATACGTAGTCACCAGGGTCTGGCATTATTTGAAAGGATTAGAAAGATCAGGAGGTGTGGCCTCATCAGAGGAGTGTGTCACTAGGGGTGGGCTGTTTTTATCTACTAGGATTTAGCTCTAGGCTACCTCTCCAGTACCATACCTTCCTACCACCATGTTCTCTGCTAAGCATCTTAATTAAAGCATCCCCAATTAAATGTTCTTTTTTTTTTTTTTTTAAATAAGAGCTGCCTTGGTCACGGAATCTCTTCACAGTAACAGAACAGTGACTAAGGTACATGGTAAAGGAGACTGACTATTTTACAATAGCCAACCATGTGACCTTAGAGTATGAACATTCTCCTGAATATCTGGGTGAGGCCAGTATAATACCCACTCAAGAGTGGATGAGTTATTGAAAGGACATACCCAAGGAGAATGGTCCATGGAAACAAAGACTGCACCCCAGATCAGTGGTTCTCAACCTGTGGGTCGTGACCCCTTGGGGGGGTGTGTGTCTCTCAGATATTTATATTACAATTCATAACAGTAGCAAAATTACAGTTATAAAGTAGCAACAAAATAACTTTATGGTGGGGGGGGTCACCGCAACATGAGGAACTGTATTAAAGGGTCTGAGCAAGCCGGGCGGTGGTGGCGCACGCCTTTAATCCCAGCACTTGGGAGACAGAGACAGGTGGATTTCTGAGTTCGAGGCCAGCCTGGTCTACAGAGTGAGTTCCAGGACAGCCAGGGCTACACAGAGAAACCCTGTCTCGAAAAAAAACCAAAAAAGGGTCTGAGCATTAGGAAGGTTGAAAACCACTGTTCTACAGCCTCCAGAAAAGGCAGCGGCCTCCTTGATGCCTTTATAGAACTATGAGATAACAAATCATAAAGGACAAAAATTCTCCTTGTGGTGACCTTAAACTCTATGAAGGCCAGATTGAAATCACATACCACTTCAGCATGGGGACAAAGGAGGCCGAGAGAGCAGCAGGTTCAGATTTGATGAGGAGTAAACTCTCTGCCATTTAGTGTTTTGTCCCACTTTGGATCTATGAAACTTGAAGACAGTTTTCAGGGCCAGCCAAATTCAGCCTCATTCTTTTTTTTCGAGACAGGGTTTCTCTGTGTAGCCCTGGCTGTCCTGGAACTCACTCTGTAGACCAGGCTAGCCTCGAACTCTCGAACTCAGGAATCCGCCTGCCTCTGCCTCCCAAGTGCTGGGATTAAAGGCGTGCGCCACCACCGCCCGGCTCAGCCTCATTCTTTAAGAGTAAAGATATTGCCAGCATCCATATTCACTTGAATTAATCCACCATCCAGTGCACAGGTATTTACAAGGCCTTGTCTATTGAGAGACTGCCCTAAGAAATTCATGCTAGAAAGTCAAATTAGCAAATAAAGCTGAATGGTCGCGCCGCTGTGACTCCACTGAGTCGCACGTTCAGATCTCTACAATGCCCTCTGAAATTACACAATGCTCAGGGCTGTCTTTTATCCACCCAAGCGAAGACAGGATCTTGAGCAGCGGTTCTCGACCTTCCTAATGCTGTGAGCCTTTAATACAGTTCTTCACGTTACGGTGTCCTCCCAATCATACAACTATTTTTATTGCTACTTCACAACTGTGATTTTGCTACTGTTATGAATCACAGTGTAAATATCTGATATTAAATATAGGATGCCTAATATCCCTGTGACCCCTGTGAAAGAGTCATTTGACCCCCAAAGGGGTCTTGACCTACAGGTTGAGAAAAACTGATCTAGATAATCTCAATAAAAAGAGACGTTTAGCTGGGTGCACGGGTGCATGTTTCAGTCCTAGCCCCAGGGAAGTAGAAGGAGATGGATCTTTGTGAGCTGGAGGTCAGCTTAGTTAGTCTACATAGTGAGTTCCAGGTCAGGTACTTATACAGTGAGATTTGTCTAGAAAAAAAAAAGAAGGGATTCAATGCCTCTGATCTTTTTTACACCTATGCTCATCATGAGCACATAGTAATACATGATTAAAATAATAAAAAAATAAACCTTTATAAGTGGCTTCAGGTGCATTTTTTACAAAAAAAAAAGTTTTAAAGGTCAAATATTTATTCCATTTAAGGTCCCCCAAAATGTTACTTTTTTTTTTTCTTTTGGTTTTTCAAGACAGGGTTTCTCTGTGTGGCCCTGGCTGTCCTGGAACTCACTTTGTAGACCAGGCTGGCCTCGAACTCACAAATCCACCTGCCTCTGCCTCCCAAGTGCTGGGATTAAAATGTTACTTTTAGATCAATAAAAGGTCAGGTAGTAGTGGCACATACTTTTAATTCCAGCACTCAGGCAGAGGCAGGTGGATCTCTGTGAGTTTGAAGCCAGCCTCGGTCTACATAGTGAATTCTAGGACAGTCAGGACTACACAACACAGAGAAACCTTGTCTTGAAAAGCAAACAAAGCAATTAAACCAATAAAAGGATAGACCTGACTCAAGATAATTTATCATTAAAGGGTGTCTTCTGAGAAAAGCATCATGGCACCCACCTATAAATCCCAGCACACAGGAAGTAGTAGAAGCGACACAAGTTCAAGGTCTCCCTCAGCTATATAGCTAGTTTGAGGACAGCCTGGGTAAAATGAGATCTACCTCTCTCCCTCTCCCTCCCTCCCTCCCTCCCTCCCTCCCTCCCTCCCTCCCTCCCTCCCTCTCTCCCTCCCTCCCTCCCTCCAAGGTACATGTGACAAACACACACACACACACACACACACACAAATAAAACTGGGGTATTCCCTCCCTTCTGGTCTTGATTGAGCACTTGCCTAACATACGAAAGACACTGACTGGGTTGCATCCCAGGAGACCAGGAGAGAGGGACAGGTTTGAGGCTACCTGGATCTCTAGAGGCTACTTTTCGGAGGTGGTTCTCAGGTGTATCAAGTTGATGTCAGTACAATAAGGCGGAAGGCTGAGAGTTTCAAGTCAGTCTGGGTTATATCTCAATCCAAAAGAGAAAATACACCCCTAACTCATTCCCTTTCACAGGGAATGACCCCACTGACCATCAAAGTTAAGGCTTGCATCCTCAGCATCACTTGAACTATTTCCAGAAGGGCTATGTAAAAGGGAAGGGGCATTCAGAGATGGATGCCTCTTTCCTCTGGCAAAAACGAAGGCATGCGCATGCTGGCTGGCAAGGCCGATGAGGGCAGGCCTGTCTTGGCCTCCCATGGTGGCACCCTCCCTCCCAGCACTCCTTCCTGTTACTTACCTGCTGCTCGGCAAGCCTCTTCTGGATCTCCTGGTTATCACAGACGTCGTAGACAACGGGTTTGGAGAGCTCAGACTCGATTCGAGCCAGCCAGGTGCGAAGGTTGCTCATGTTTTTGTCCAGCTGCTGAATGAAAGCGAATGTCTCCTTCAGCTTCTTCACCCTAAATGCAGTGGAGGAGAGAAGCAGTCATTAGCGGTGAGAAGCATGGGCGAGTACGGATGCTGGTGAACGGGAGAGCGCGTGCATTGCTTTAATTCTCAGCGGGAACAGCTCACGCGTCCTGGTCCGCATGATTTTTCACAGTGACTCAGACAAGCCAAAAGTCCTGACAAAGCCACATGAACTCCTCCTAACACCCTGACTAGCTTCCTGGGGCTCCATACTGAAGATAAGAGGCCATTTTCCTCTCTCCAAAATACCTCTTCTGGATACTTTAGCCCAGTTCCTGTCACTGATGTGCCCGAGACAATGGCAGTCAGTGGTCTTCCCTGGAAGGCTAACGATGTCTCCTACCCGGTTCATTCGGCACTTATTTGGCTCATGATTCCCTTCATGGACTCTGAACAAGGACAGAACACACAGCAACCCAGGATGGAACACACAGCAACCCTGCCCCTTCAGTGTGAGGGCTCGTGCGACGTTGAGTCTGCCTTGTGGGCTTGTTATGGGGCATCTCTGAGTCAGAAGGAAAATACTACTCACGTACAGTTCTGCTTGCTGTCTCTCTGACAACCTCAGGTCCCTTCCAGCGTGATGTGGCCTGCTGGAGGTTTGAGAGGACAAATGCAGCTTGTGCTCACTGGCATTTCATGTTAACACTTGCAAGGGCAATTTTGAGCCACTGAAGCAAAACCTGTCTTTGTTGATCTGAGACAGGGTCTCACTAAACAGCCTGCACTGGCCCAAAACTCACAGATCCTCCTGCCTCTGCCTCCTGAATGCTGGGATCACAGGTGTGAACCACCTCACCTGGCTAGCCATGATTCTCCACACAGAGGCTGAAGTGAAATGCTTCAATCAGCAGCTTTCCTGAGAGTCCTAAAGTAGGAAGAGTGACGCTTGCACTGTTGATCTTAGGGACTGAGGTTATCCCAGAGATCTGAAGTAATAGTTACAGTTCAAAGTCCCTACTTACCAATCCCCAGTAGCAGAACTGCATCCCCAGCCGACAGCAACAGAAAGAGAAACTGAGATGCTAGCCTCAACTCACAGGAAGCACACGGTCTGCTGCACCTCCACCAAGGCTTGTTTAACCAAACAACTTCCTCTGGCCTCTGTGCCTTCCTACTCACCACCTTTGGTTCCATTTCTGAAGACAAGTCTGATTCATGCTCAGAACCTTTCAACAGTCCGCTCTCTACCCTGACAAACCAGTTTAATCTCATAATCTGTTTAACACCTTGAGCAATTTTCGTGACCTCTTTGGCCTCTCATTGAAAGTCTTCCCCTCTTCCTTGGAAACACTTCTTCCATAACCGCCCCCACACAACCTCCACACTAGGGCAAGCTAACAGCACTGTGGGAGACACTCCCCACTCTCCAGAAAAGAAAGGCAGCTAGGCAGTACCTCCCTCAAGGCTGTGCACTGACTGTAAACAAATATTCGTTAAATGAATAAACATGTCCAGTCACTCCCCCGTAGTAGGCTGTTTTATTTTCAGATAGGGTCTTTGGTAGCTCAGGCAAACTTTGATACTACCGGGTTGCAAAGGTTACTCTTGAACTTCTGATCCTCCTGCTTTTACCTTTTTATATTGGGACTAGATCCATACAGGACCGTTCTGGCTTATATAGAGCTGAGAATGGAATCCAGGGCTTAGTTCATGCTAGGCAAGCTACGGTTCCCTACCTCCAGGCTATAGTTTAAGTGGGCCAAAGAGTGTGTTTATATCTCTCAGTCAACCAAGACATCCCTAGAGACAGCCTTCTAGTTCTGTCTCTGTTAGCAGTGACTGTATGAATTTGGGAGAGCCCTTTTATCTCAGCACCGCTACCTGTAAGCCTCTGAGGTCTCCCAAACCTCAGCAGTAAGAGTGATGGGAGCAGACCAAGGTTACAGTCTCATCCACAACCCGTCTACAAGGTCTACAGCCCTGCAAGATCTTTTTTTTTAAAAAAAGATTTATTTATTATATGTAAGTACACTGTAGCTGTCTTCAGACACCCATATGAGGGCATCAGATCTCATTGTAGATGGTTGTGAGCCACCATGTGGTTGCTGGGATTTGAACTCATGACCTCTAGAAGAGCAGTCAGTGCTCTTAACCGCTGAGCCATGTCACCAGCCCCCCAAGTGTAGTTTTTTTTAAAAAGTATTTATTTATTTAATGTATGTGAGTACACTGTCCCTCTCTTCAGACACACCAGAAGAGGGCATCGGATCCCATTACAGATGGTTGTGAGCCACCCTGTGGTTGCTGGGAATTGAACTCAGGACCTCTGGAAGAGCAATTGGTACTCTTAACCACTGAGCCATCTCTTCAGCCCCCAAGTGTCTTTATTATTTATATAATTAGACCTCTTGCAGGTGACGTGGGACCAAGGTGTGACCAAGTAGCCACTGGAATATAATTCATGTTCAGCAGTGTAACTCTCCTCATGCTGAGGTCACGTGATGCTACGACTCCATATCTAGCTGGCTCTGGACTTCACAACGGTGTCTGCTGAGTGTCTTCCTCTCAGTAGCTCCACATGTGGGAAGGCTTGCAGGCAGGCTGTAAAGGCTTAGGGTTTGAGTTCTGGCTTCATTAACCTCATGTAGAGAATGGGGCTAACAGTGATACCCTCCTTCACTGGGTCTCCTGGGAGGTAGGAAGGAGGTGTGCATGACAGGCATCTGGGACACTCTCTGACGAGGACAAGTCCCAGGAATCCATGGGCACGATCAGTTTCAAGGAAGTATATTTTCCAAATTGTACTCTTGCAGCAGACAAAAAGTCTCCTTCAAAGCCACGCGATGATTTATTGAAAAGGCAGTAACAGAATCCGGGCGAGGCCTGGATACGGCTATAACCCAGATGGGGCTCTCATCTCCGAGGCTTAGCACCGTGCCCTTCTCACCCCACGTCACCACTCTGACTGCGCAAGGAGCCCACACAGCTATGAGGGGCTGCCCTAGGCCTGGCCATGGCCACTTCCTGTGGGTAGACACCAGTGTTCAGGCTCGGTTTTCATCTTCCTTCCTCCCTCCCGTTGCTCGTCTCTTGGCTCAGGATGGCTCACTATGCTTCCATCAAGCAACCCAGGCCACTTGAGAATCTCAGCTTTTTCTTATTTCAACAAGAGGTCTGGGGAGACCGCCTTCTATTCAGAGGGAGCTGCCACACAACAAAAAGCCTACGCAAAACGATTTACTTGCCTTTCCTGGGACTGTTGTATTCAAAATGGAGTGCTCCAGGGAGACCAGTGAGGGGATGGAAGTAAAACAGATGGAACCTCCCTAATCTAAACATTGTAATGTTCAAAATCTGAAACTTTTGAGGGCTGTCATCACATTACAGTGAAAGATTCCACATCAGATCTCATATGATTGCTATAGCCAGGAGGCACACTAACGACCTTAGCTATGTATATGAGAAATACCAGTGGATTCCCAAGAGGCCCCAATATGCAAATATCTCAGAATAGAAAAATAAATCCAAAGTATCTCTGTTCACAAGTGTTTGGTATAAAAGGATACTTAGCTGTACCAACCTTGTTGTGTGTAATCCATCCCTTTAAAATACCTTATTATACTTTGTAACTTATAAATACACCATAGTACTAAAGTGGACCATCTATGTAGCCTGCTAAGATTTATCTCATATGCTAGCATGTGTCAGCCTGCTCTGTCTCACATGCTAGTGACTCACTTTATCATCTCAATGAAGCTGGCACACTGGTGCCATGGCACTGTGACCGCTGTCATCCCTGATGTGGCACACAGGTGCTATGGTACTAGCACCACTGCTGTCCTCCCCATTGGACAGCTGAAGAAATGAAAGCTCATGGTTAAAGAACCAGCTCAGGCACCTGGACCATTAGCAGGGGTAGAATTCTAACGTCTGACAGTATGGCCTCTGTGGCTTGTCACATACCTTGCACACACAGGTGGACACAGATTGGGGGTAGAGGATGGGTTTTGCTGCTGTCGAGGAACACGATTCAGATACAGGAGTCAGTACTCCCCTTTGCTCACATTGGTGAACGGGAAGAGGCTCGAAGTTGCAGATATACTTGCCTAGGTTTCCCTTCCATGGTTTTCTTCCGATATACATTTAAGCATTTGCTTTGTTCTGGGTCCTGTGCACGTTGTGAGGATTCAGTAACTCAAAGCTGGGTTGTAAATCCTACAAAGCTTATGCCTCTGCAACTTAGGTATCGAGATACAGAATCAGAAGCACTTAGAAATACCCATTGGGGGAGGAAGCGACAGTCACCAGTTTGTCTTTTCCATCCAAAGGATGACAATGCCATATGTTAAAGACAAGAGGATAGCAGAGTACTTTACCCACGAAGCAACTTACTGTCCTCCTATGAGAAGCAGGCAACCTACTGATAACAGTAAGCTTAAAGGCCAAGGGGGGCAAGGGAAGGTAGAGGCAGAGGGGGAGGGGGTGGGGGAGGAAGAGGGAAGACAGGGGAGGGGGAGGGAGAGGGGAGAGAGAGCGACTGATTTGCCCAGTGAGTCTAACCTGCTCTCTGGTTAACCTCTGTCTGGAGACCTGACACCCTCACTGGAATCAGAATGTTTCTCCAGCAATCACCTGAGAATTTATCCCAAGAACAACCAACAAACTGTTGAAGTTTACACAGCTCTGCTGCTCACACTGTAACTCAACTGTCACCTTTCCTGGGCTGGGGAGCATGTGCCCTTTGCTGGTCCCAATGGCTGAACCCTACACATTAGGCCTCACCCATATGGCTCTCAAAACACTCAGATCTTCAGTTAGCATCAGGAAACCAGGAAACCTAGTCAAAGGCCAGCCTGTTGGCACGGCGAGGCATGACATCGGCCATGAGGCAGTTTATGTGGTTCCCACCTCTTGCCCATGCTCATCCAGGTAATATTTCACATGTGTTACACCTCTGAACATATGATATACACCCAGAAGAAAAGAAGCCAGGTCTCCTGAGCTGAATTCCAGGGCTGATGACCAAAACAGTCATTGTTAGGTGCAA